AAAAAAAAAAAAAAAAATGGGGACTACATGGAATGTGATAATTGTCACTGTATTCAGATTCGTTGATATGCTATTTCAGGATTTGAAATTAAGAATTTTTTCAACTCATAATTTGTACTTAATTGTTCTGTTGAATGTCTGCCGTTCATTCCTAGTTTTCTATTTCAGAAAGAAAATAAAGGCTTTCTGGTAGAACTTCTGCTTCTTGCCCCATACGCAAAACTGCTGGTATTCATACTTAGTCTTTGTCTATCTCTGTGGGCAAACTGTACCTTTCTCTCCAAGGATATTCCCTCCACTTCCATCCCTTCTGGCATCTTCAGTGATTTCAACATACTGAGAAATCTTTCTCTCCCACCTCCTCTGTCTGTTGAATTCCACTCCTCCCATTATGTGTTTAAGTCTCTGTCATCTTAAACATAAAAGCCCTCTTCTTACATAATGCCTTATCCTTGCCTCTTTTCACAGAGAAGTTTCTTGAAAAATAGTCTTTATTGTCTCAGTTTCCTCAACATCTGTTTAGTTTTTATACTCTATAATCTAACTTTGAGCTAAGTAATTTTATTGAAACTGCACTGTCCAAGTTACCACTGGGTTTTTAATTGTCAAATTCTGAGATTCTCATTTTCATTTCATATCTTAACTGGTCTCTGGTCACGTATACATTTAATGTGGTTGTTGACTCCTGTCCTTGAAATTAGATTAACTTGATTTTTCTTTCGTTTGTGATATCTCTCTCTTCTGGTTTTCCTCCTTATATTCTGACCACTCCTTAGCATCTTCGTCATCTCTTCTGTTTTCCCCTTATTTTGTATCTTTAGTCCTTTTCCATCTTCACTCTCCTTAGCGGTCTCATCTGCATGGGATTTCAAATACTACCTGTAATGCTCAGAACTCTCAAATCTTGTCTTTTTTTTTTAGACAGAGTCTTGCTTTATCGCCCAGGCTGGAGTGTAGTGGCACGATCTTGGCTCACTGCGACCTCTGCCTCCCGGGTTCAAACAATTCTCCTTCCTCAGCCTCCTGAGTAGCTGGGATTACAGGCACATGCCACTACACCTGGCTCAATTTTTATATTTTTAGTAGAGACAGAGTTTCACCATTTTGTCCAGGCTGGTCTTGAACTGGCCTCAAGTGATCTGCCTGCCTCAGCCTCCCAAAGTGCTGGGATTATAGGCGTGAACCATCGCACCCAGCCCAAATCTGTCTTAACATCCACCCTTTCCTTTTCACCAGGGGTGTGTGCGTACGTATACGTGTGTACTTATGATTGGCTATAGTGCGGGTATGCCAAATTCAGTACATCTGAAAGATAATGTATTATCATCTCTTCCTTCTCTCCTTGTTTCCTCCCTGCCTCCCTTCATCCCTTCCTCCCTTCCTCCTTCCTTCCCACTCCCCCTGGCCTTTTTTTTGAGACAGCGTGTGACTCTGTCACTCAGGCTGGAGTGCAGTGGTGCAGTCTTGGGTAATCACAACCTCTGCCTCCTAGGCTAAAGCCATCCTCCCACCTCAGCCTCCCAGGTGGCTGGGACCATAAGTACATACCACCACTCAGCTAATTTTTGTGTGTTTGTAGAGACAGGGTTTTGCCATGTTGCCAAGGTTGTTCTCGAATTCCTGGGCTCAAGTGATCTGCCTGCTTTGGCCTCCCAAAGTGCTGGGATTACAGGCATGAACCACGGTGCCCAACCATAAAAGCCTTTGAATGAATCAAATGAATTAAACTCCTTGATTTCTTTATTTCCCTATACTCCATGTCCAGTCTTTAAGCAAGTACTGGCTGTTATTATGTCTGAAATTTCTACGAGGGATGCTGGTTCATTTATGTGTTTGAAATGGTATTTAGAAACCATGATCTGAGCACACGATCTGCTTGTTCCCACTGGGATGTCATTGCTTCTAGGCTCTTTTAAATGGTCAGGGCTAGAAAATAAATTTTTAAAAATTTGTAACTTGATATTTTGCATTCATCCTCTAATCCAGCTCTAATCCAGCACCACAGTTCTTTTGGTTTATCTTCTAGTTTTTTCCTGGTGTTTTGAGTTGGGAATTTAATTTTAATCTTTTGTTTTTATTGCAATGTTTAAGACTATAAAATTTCCTGTGATCACTAATTTGTTTTAGAGATCTAATATGTAGTCTTTTTATTGTTATTTTAAAATTTATTATTATTTTTTGAGACGGAGTCTTGCTCTGTCGCCCAGGCTGGAGTGCAGTGGCGTGATCTCAGCTTATTGCAGCCTCCACCTCCCGGGTTCAAGCAGTTCCCTGCCTCAGCCTCACGAGTAGCTGGAATTACAGGTGCCTGCCACCACGTGCGGCTAATTTTTGTAATTTTAGTAGAGACGAGGTTTCACCGTATTGTCCAGGCTGGTCTTGAATTCCAAAGTGCTGGGATATACAGATGTGAGCCGTCGTGCCTGGCCTGTTATTTTTTAAGTAGAGAATTAAAATGTTCAGGTGGAAGGTCCTTTTTAATTTTGTTATTTTGAGTTTTAGATCAAAGAATGTTGTTTTATTCTACTTTTTGGAACTTTATTGCTTTTCTGAAAAGGTTGTTGTAAGGACTAATTGATTAAAGTACTTAGATGTGGCACATACTATTTACTGAACATGTATCAGCTTTATTGTTATGTACTCTGCTTTATAATGGTAAATAATGTGTGGTATTATATTTCTCGTTCGACTAACAGTAGAAGTTGGTTAATATAACCAAATCAGTCTACAAAAGTTTAAAGATAAATATTGAAGTGGCATTTAGGTTTTGTACTTATATGATCTTTTGTTAGTCTAGATTGCATACATCATTTGTTATGTAACCACAGACTTATAAAGTAGTCTGTATTTTATCTTGGTTTATTTTTATGCTTATTCTTTATTTATTATACACTTAAAATAAATTTTGGCTGTTTACTTAGTCTATATTCAGAGATTATGGTTAATCTTAATTCAAGATTGAATACCAGTATCTGTCAGGATGTTCTCACTTTCAAGTATTAGAATGCCAGGTGATAGTAGCTTAAACATTAATAATTAATTTTTCACATAAGAATACATTTTTGCATAAGGTTTTCAGAGGTAAGTAGCTCTAGGATTGGTCAAGGGCCCGGGTTCTTTCCATTTTTCTGCCTTGCTTTCTTCAGTGTGTGGGTAATAAATTTCCTCTCAGTTGTGGTATGGCTGCTGCAGAGTCCAGCACCGTGTTTTCACCAGACTGAGTCCCTTAGCAGGAAGGAAGGGAATTGGGGCAAAAGGACGACTTTTTTTGTTTGTTTGTTTGTTTTGAGACAGAGTCTTACTCTCGCCCAGGCTGGAGTGCAGTGGCTCAATCTCAGCTCACTGCAACGTCCACCTCCTGGGTTCAAGCAATTCTGCCTCAGCCTCCCGAGTAGCTGGGACTGTAGGCGTGCACCACCATGCTCAGCTAATTTTTGTATTTTTAGTAGAGATGGGGTTTTACCATATTGGGCGGGCTGGTTTCGAACTCCTGGCCTCGTGATCCACCCGCCTCAGCCTCCCAAAATGCTGGGATTACAGGCGTGAGCCACTGCACCCGGCCTCCAAAAGGACTTATTCTTTAAGATGCTTTCCTTTTTATTTTTTTGACACAGAGTCTTTTTCTGTCACCCGGGCTGAAGTGTGGTAGGACAATCACGGCTCGCTGCAGCCTTGAACTCCAGGGCTTCACGTGATCCTCCTGCCTCAGTCTCCTGGGTAGCTAGGACTTCAGGTGCGTGCCACCATGGGCAGATAATTTTTAATTATTTTTTTTTTTTTGGTAGAGACGGGGGTCACTATGTTGCCCAGGCTGGGAGAAGCTTTCCCATTGATTGATTCAGGGTCTCATCTATCGCCCAGGGTGGAGTTCAGCAGCATGATCTCACCTCACTGCCTCAACCGCTCAAACTCAAGTGATCCTCCAACCTCAGCCTCCCAAGTAGCTGGGACTACAGATGCACACCACCTTGCCTGGCTAATTTTTGTACTTTTTGTCGAAATGGGGTTTCCCTGTGTTGCCCAGGCTGGTCTGTAACTACTGAACTCAAATGATCCACCTGCCTTGGCCTCCCAATGTGTTGGGATTACAGGTGTGAACCACTGTGCCTGGCCATTTGCCTTTTATTAGAAGATGGCAATCTTTCCCAGGGGATTCCAGTACAATTTTTTAATGTTCCACTGGCTAGAACTGGATCACATTCCCACCCCTTTGTTGGTCATCACCAACAAAGAAAAATGAGGTTAGTATGATTGGCTTAGGACAGTCACAGTTCATGTCCTGAGATGCCCTCTAATCAAATACAGGTGTCCAGTAGCAAGTTAGAAGTGGGGATTTCTGTGGTGTGATAACCGGCAGTGTCTGTCTTTAGACAGCTTGACAACTGTGCTTTTATGAGTCATACACGAATTTTATTTTGTGGAAAGGAATCTGGGTGCATGGTGTTTTGGTGACTGTTTTCAACTGTAGCAATGAGGCAGCGAAGTAGATTTACAGAAAAGAAATCCAATAATTTGTTCTTTCGTTTTGAAGAGGATCCTGAAACTTTTCAGGGGTAAAAAAATAAATGCATGAATCAGCATAATTGTGCTTACGTGAATTTTGCTTATTTTTTAGTCAGAATCTGGAGATGTGAATAGAAACACGGAATTGAAGAAACTTCAGATTTTTGGGGCTGGGCCCAAGGTTGTGGGCCTGGCAATGGGAACAAAAGATAAAGAAGGTAAGATTTGTTATTTGATCATGAAAAGAGATAAGGTAGAATATGGTTGTAAAAACATTCAAATGATACTTGAATTGCAGTCTGTGCTGGGAATTTCTTAAGAATTGTAAAGTTGCAATGTGGTTCCCAGGCACATCGCCTGTTTTAATGCCACATATCTTAAGTTTAAGGTGTGAAGAGCAATCTTATGTTGAATTTTTATGATTTTGGAGGAGAGGATTTTCCTTCTCTATATCTGATATATGACACAAATTTATTGCAGTTTATAAGGCTGGTTTATGAGAGAATGGCGGAATTAATGGTTCTTACCTAGTGAGCTAAAGCTTGTGACTCTTAGTATCAACATATGCTGGGGGAAGCTTAGAATTTTAAAATTCTAACCATAATTTTGATTTTAAAAATAATTGTCCTTGATATATTATGTCACTTCATTTAAATAAACTGTTTTCTTTAGTAAGTCTAGTGCTCGGCTTCACGTTTGGAGGTTTTTTGTCAGTAGAACTGCTCGTGCAAAGATCAGGGTCCACTGTTCTCTTTATGCAACATGTCAATTTTAAACCGTTTAACAAAGATTAGGCTGGATATGTTTTGACTATATCAGAACTTAATGAAATGCTACAGTCACAAATACTAATTACTATGTACTTAGATGTGTAGTTAAATCATACAATTCAGATAGTGGACTGAACTCTAGAAGATTAAATAATATTGTTCCATCTCTCTTAAAACATCCCATGTAATAAGACTTATTAGATACATTGTAATAATGATAGTATTTCTTTTTGAAGAATTAAGTACTTTATTTTTGTTATTCTTGTAATTATAGTATTGGCTATCAACAGTCTTAGAAATTAGTCCCTAATTTGGGAGTTCCTCCAAGTAATACCTGTGGGTTGTATGTAGTACGTACTGCATACAAATACAGCATTAATGGGTAAGCTCTCTGGATCCTACGTGACTGGATTAGAATCTTAAATCTGCCTTGCTGTATGATTTTGAGCAAGTTATTAACTTTGCTGTACCTCAGGTTCTTCATCGTCAATGAGAGATAATAAATAGTATATCTACCTCTAGATAGATAAACAGTTGTAAGATTTTAACTAATTTAAATAATTTTAAATAGTGTCTCGTCCATAGTAAGCTCTCAACATTAGTTTTTACTATTATTGTATAACTTTTTATTTCAAGATGAGGTCACCCGAAGACGAAAAGTTACCAACAGGTCAGACGCATTTAACATGCAAATGAGACAACGGAAAGGCACTCTCTCTGTTAACTTTGTAAGTGTTTTGGGGTCTGTCAGGAGGGAAAGGATTTATTTTTATTATAGTTTTGCACTTTCTATCCTGGTATATCTTGGTATGTATTTAGTTAGCTCATTTGGTTAGAAGACTTGATGGCAAATCTGTGAAGTTACAGCTTTTGTTTATGTTGTTAACCTTGCTTTGTCCTATGTACGTAGGCTGCTTCCTGTAAGTCGTATACCTTATGGGTAACCAAGTGAGAGCATGAAAATGAATCTGTGTAATCGTTGAGTTCTATCATAGACAGTCTCGGTCTTCATTCTCTATCAAAGGGTATTCGTATATGGGAAGGAGGACATGGTATTTTAAAAAATATATGTAAATTGATTTTCAAATACCCTAGATTTGTAGTCTTTCTTTAACAACCTGATATACTTTTATTAACTTGCTTGTAAAAACTCTGGAGGAAAATTTAGGGCGTTTTGTGAAAAGCTGTTTAAATACAATTTCTTGAAATAGACATTCAGGATTTAAGTTATGTTTACTTTTCAGTTGCATTATTTTGTTTGTTTCAGCTAAGGAGTTCCTGGTAAAAATTTAGTATTATGGAAAATAGACTTTTATTTTTATTTTTTTAACAGGTTGATCTCTATGTTTGTATGTTTTGTGGTCGGGGAAACAATGAAGATAAGTTGCTTTTGTGTGACGGATGTGATGACAGCTATCATACATTTTGTCTAATTCCTCCACTACCTGATGTGCCCAAAGGAGACTGGAGGTGTCCTAAATGTGTCGCTGAGGTACAAGTCTAACCTCTATGGATCCTTTTTTAACTAAAAACAATAATACATGCATGTACACATACATGTAAACATATTCCCAAATATGTTTCCTTTTGTCATTCTCTCTTCATTATGTGGTGTTTAAAATTTCCGGGACTTTTCTTTTTTTGAGATGGTGTATTGCTTTGTCACCAGGCTGGAATGCAATGGCGTGATCTCAGCTCACTGCAGCCTCCACCTCCCGGGTTCAAGCGATTCTCCTGCCTCAGCCTCCCAAGTAGCTGGGACTACAGGCACGAGCCACTATGCCCAGCTAATTTTTGTATTTTTAGTAGAGACCATGGTTTCACCATGTTGGCCAGGATAGTCTCGGTCTCTTGACCTCCTGATCTGCGTGCCTCGGCTTCCCAAAGTGCTGGGATTACAGGCATGAGCCACCGTGCCTGGTCAATTTCCAGGACTTAAAATGTCTATATTGAATGGAAATGTAACAATTGTATTGTGGTAGCTTGCCTTTCAAAGGTTCTTTTTCTGACTGTTGGTTAGGTCATTCTGTTTATTGATGCAGATAATGAGACTTTATTATATTGCTGGACAACAATAAAAATGAAGAAAAGCATAGATTGTTTTTTCTCTATTAATTGAAAGTATAACCAGACATGAAACTGTAGAACTTGGGATTTATGCATCCAATTTCATGCTATTAAATAAATTGATGATATCTTTTATTTATTTACTATTTATTTGTTTACTTTTTTGAGACAGGGTCTACAGCCTCACCCAGGCTACAGTGCAGTGGCACGATCTCAGCTCACTGCAACTTCTGACGTCTGGGCTCAGGTGATACTCCCAGCTCAGCCTCCCTACAGATGTACGCCACCACGCCCAGCTAATTTTTGTATTTTTTGTAGAGACAAGGTTTTACCATGTTGGCCAGGCTGGTCTAAACTCGTGGACTCAAGTGGTCCACCTGCCTTGACCTTCCAAAGTGCTGGGATTACAGATGCGAGCCACTGTGCTGGGCCCTGATGGTATCTTTTAGCTTGCCCAAATTTTTACTTGATTGTGCTAAATTTTTCTTAGTGAAAGATTGTAGTACTGTCATTGTCGTGAAATGCCCAGTCTGTTTACTTTTTTTAACAAAATGCTGTGATAGGACATTAAAGAGAAGGTGTTAGCTGGGTGTATGTAAATGCATTCAAAGGTCTTTTATGCCGTTTGAATTATTGCTTATTTACTATTCTCAAGGTTAAAAGATTCAGAGGCAATTCTACTCTGAGTCATTGTGTTAAGACACTGGTCATGGTGATTGGTAGTGTGAGCAAGCTATTCTCTTAGTCTGATATCCTCACAGTCCAGTGGCTGCCCCCTTATCCATTACCTTTCCCTCCTCCATGAACATGTATTTTCTCCGTGGCCAAAACCACTGGTGTGCCAAGAGTGTTAGGCATCCCTCGGGATGATTCCGGTCAGTCCTTTAGATGTTTGTCTTGGTGCCAGAACTTAATGCTACTCTGGATCTAAAGCCGTCTTAGTGCCGCCTTCCTGTTGGAAGGCTGTGACGATGACGTCGAGACTCTAGAAAATACTTCCTGATACTGTATTGTAAGGAGCTGATACTTGTTTTGTTGTCTAGGGTTGATTGGATTTGTTTTACCTAGGGAAATGATCAAAGAAGTTAGTAACTAAGAGCCTTAAAGCTTTCTTCAGTTTCGTTTCAGTGAGTGAATCTTACATATTTTTTCTTCCCAGGAATGTAGCAAACCTCGAGAAGCCTTTGGATTTGAACAAGCTGTACGAGAGTATACACTTCAGAGCTTTGGAGAGATGGCAGATAATTTTAAGTCTGATTATTTTAATATGCCAGTCCATGTGAGTAAACTATCTTTTAGGTCAGTCTGGGGAGGTACAAAGATTTACCTGAGTCCAAAGCCTTC